TGCAGACTTCGAGTTATTACTGCTGCCAAATACCGAAGATTCCGCGGCCGCCGGTCTGGAAACAGCTCTGTGAGAAGGGTGAGGTGTGCGTGCCCTGCTGTCATATAAAGTGGGTGACAGGCAGCCTTGTCACCCCCATTTCATTTTGGTGACCTACATCGACCAAGCCCCACTAAGCACATTTTATAATATTAATTTTTCCAGTTCTTTTATGTACCTGACAAAAGAACAGTGTGGAACTAAGGCTGACATGTGTGGCTAGGTCTCCAACTCTTTGGAATCAAAAGTAGAAAAGATTTCAGGCCACACTCGAATCCCCTATGTCTGTACGACTCTGTTCCTTTCCTCTGCCTCAGAACTCACTGGACGCAACCAAGTTGGCTTATCCCAGGAATGCAAGTTGGTTTGACATGAGAAAAGGAAGTTACCAGATGAAAGGGGAAATTATTTAACAATATGAATCGATACAGAAAAGCTTAAAATAAAGTTAAGCACACATACATGATTTTAAAGTAGTCTTTGCAAAGTAGAAATAGAAGGGACTTTCCTTAACTTAATAAAGTTATCTGTCAGAAACTTACAGCAAGTGTTATACTTACTCCAGGTGAAGTGTTGAAAACATTCCCAGTAAGAGCAGAAACAAGACAGGGGTGTCCTCTCTTGCTATTTCTGTTCAATAATGTACCACAGATCTGAGCCGTAGAATAAGGCAAGAAAAAGAAATAAAAGGCATCAGGTCTGGAGAGGAAGAACACACTGTCATTATCGTAGGTGACATGATTCTGCACGTAGAAAATTCAAAGTAACTCCAGGTAAGTGATTAGAATGAATATGAGTTTAACCAGATGCTATAGCACCAAGCCAATATATAAAACTTGATTGTATTTCTGTATATCAGCAGAGAGAAATTGAAATTGAAAATACTATCTGTAATAGTTTACTTAAAGCATCAAATGTCTGGTAATAAATCTAAAGGTGTTCAAAGATCTCTACATTCAAAATTCTAAAACATTTTTGAGAGAAATGAAATGAAGTGATATCCCACGTTCATGGATTGGGAGACATAATGTTGTTAATATTGTCACTTACCTCTTCTTCCAGAGAAGATCCTATGAACTCTTTTGCTGTTTTCTAGAAATTTTAGAAAATGGAACCTGAAACTTGGGGAATTACAACTATGATATGCTTTCATTTCTTTTCCTCCCCCCTTTTCTGGTCTTTTTTTTCTGCTGTTTTCCTATCTTTCTCAACTTTCTTCCCTCTCTTTCTTTCTTAATCCAGATGAGGGCAAATTCATAGGGGTTGGCCGGGGGCACTCGGTCTTGGTGACTGGAAGGCCTGGTTGCACGGCACGTGTCTGGCTGAGTACCAGAGTACAGAGTACAAGGCCCAGTTTAGGCTTGTGTCTGGTCTAGTTGCGACGGAGCCAGGTTCTAGGGTGCTAAGTACATGATCTCGCGGACATTGCTCAGCCCTGCAGGGCTGCTTTCCCATGTGTAAAGGCGGGGAATAGGCCAGAATCGTGGGGAGTTAGGTTCCTTTGGCTCCAAAGGCTACGATTCTAGTTAGAGATACCCCCTGCCCATCACACTGAATTACAGCCAAGTGTTGCTTTTAAGTTGGACCCCATCGTCTCTAAATGGGCCATGCTGTTTCTGTGCGAGCGTGATCACGTGTCCGCTGCCGTCCCGTGTGCCACCGTGTGCGTTGTGCTCACTCACGGAAGAGTCACGTGGTGAGGGAGACACGGAGGACCCTCATGCTCCCTGCTTCTCTTCTGCACGTGTGCTCCTCCGCCAGCTCCCTGAGCCAAATAAAATGCCACCTGAGGACACAAAGTACAGCAGTCCCATCCAGCGATGTTTCCAAAATTAGACTCTGAAGTGGAGAGAGATTAGGGCGGAAACCTGCTCGCAGGGGTGTTTCACCGCCGAGAGGAAGTCGTGCTCCGATTCCTTCTCCTTGGTTCCTTGCGTTGCTTGCTTGGCTGCTCTTTGCTCCGTGGCTACGTGGTCACGTGCTGGTCGGCGCTTACGTCTGGGCTCTAAGCCGTCTTCCCTGGCCCTTGGAGCCCCTGCCCCTTCAAACGCAGTTTCTCTATCCCTGCTCTGTCCTGGGGTTTTGTCCCGCTGCACGGCCTCAGGTGTGTTTTGTGAGCCCTGCGATACGGAATTGGATGTGTAAGGCCCTCGGTGGTATTTGTCACCAGCTCTGGTCCCCGTGACACGGAGCAACAATGCTGCGTCACATCCGTCCCCACACCTGATGTTCGGGCCTAAAACTGTCGTGTACATGCTGAGCAGCCCCTGCCACGCAGGGCCCTGCTACAGGTGTCCGTGGACTTGGTATATCTTCTCTCCATGTTTAGATCTGAATCCTCCAGGGACTCGAGAGGGCCCTGCACGCCTCCGTGTTCTCAGCCAGGGTCTTCACCCTGTTCCTCACCGCGTGCCCGGGGCCACACACCCGGGCCCGCCAGCCTCAAGCACCCAGACCAGCCAGCGGGAGACTCCAGGGCCGGGACTGGGAAGCCTGGTGTTTTCTTCCCTTCTCTGGGCCTCGTCTCCCGGTGCCCGGTCCCTTCTTGGTTCAGGTTTCTGCCCAGTGCCGTTCTATCTACTGCCTTCTGTGAAAAGACCTCTTACTTTTTGGTTTCTGTGATCCTCCATTCAGAGTGAGGAACGTGCGGTGTGCTGGGGGCGTCAGGGTGGTGGGGTGGGGTCTGCAGAGGAGCAGGGCGAGGGACGGGCACGGGCTGCTGGCGGCGCACCGAACATCACGGCCTCTCGCTACTTGACGCGTCTTCCCGCTTCAGCGTGGCTGAAAGTCGCGTGTTATCAGGCATTATCGGGCATGTGGCTCTGGAGCAAGTGGACCTGCAGGGCTTGGGGCAGACACAAGCAGCTCGATCCAGACTCCAGAGAGGCCTTCACACGAGCCGGGGTGCAGGCCCAGCGCTACTGCTCCGGCCCGGAAGCTGGAATTTCCTAATTTGCCAAACGAGGCAGCTGTGCTGGTTTCTGGGTTTCTAAACTGTGTCTGTTTCTAGAACTTTGGCTCAGGTGGAAGCTCAGGGTGGACACGGAGGAGGTGACGGTTTGGGGGGGACACGCCAGGTGTGGTGGCACCAGAGAGAATGCCCTGGGCTTGCTCGGACGCAGCTGCAGGGCCGGCAGGGTGGCCCTCTAGCCCCCAGCTCCTGGCCCTTCCCTCAGAAGATGGCAGGATTAGGATTTTCAAAAGCATTTTTGGTGTTTCTGAAAGTATTTACTGTGGGATTAGGATTTTTAAAAATACGTTTAGACTTTTCTGAATCTTTTAGTTCTGAAAATGAAATTTTCATTTCACTTATTCACGTTCAGAAAAAAGAGGCTTGAAAGTGCTTTCTATCACTGTCTTGAGGCCCCTTTCTTTTTCTTTTCTTTTTTTTTGCGGTACGTGGGCCTCTCATTGCTGTGGCCTCTCCCATTGCGGAGCATAGGCTCCGGACGCGCAGGCTTAGCAGCCATGGCTCACAGGCCCAGCCGCTCCGCGGCATGTGGGATCTTCCCGGACCGGGGCACGAACCCGCGTCCCCTGCATCGGCAGGCGGACTCTCAACCACTGCGCCACCAGGGAAGCCCTTGAGGCCCCTTTCTGAGGGGCAGTGAAGGGGCTCACAGGACATGGCATTAGGCCCACAGGTCAGCGTCAGACCATGTCAGGGTGGGTCGTATGCCTGGAGAGAAGCCTTGGTGCAGATGGTCGGGCCTGGTCTGCTTCTGGGCATGAGTGTGGCCCCCAGTCCTCGTCCTGCCTCGGGGAGCCTGGACTGTCCTAACCCCACATATGCCCAGTGTCTTGTGAGCTGCCAGAATGGGGGAGGGGTGGCTGGCTGTGGAGAGGAGACCCCAGATCCCAGCGTTTGAGTCCCCGCGTTGTCGCTCTCGGGAGTGGCCGGGCACCGCAGGGGAGCAGCTCGTTTTTCCCCGAGGGTGTGGGAGCGCGGCTCACAGGCCTCCCCACTTCCTTGGGAGGGTCTGCAGTTCTCAGGAGACGCTTTGCTATCTCCTTGTTCTCGTCCTTGGACTTTGAACCTCTCCAAAGACACACACGGGTCATGGAACACTGCATTCAAAGTCTGCCTGAGGTGCTGTCCATTTGGGGCAAAAAGCAAAGATTTAGTACAGAGTCAGTAGACCTGTGCTCTTAAGTGTTTTTGTCATGATTTGCAAGTCGGCCCGAGGGGGCCGATGGCTGCTCTGGGAAACCAGTGCTTTCTCTGTAAAATCAGTAACGAGTGTGACCGACCACACGTCAGCGTCAGTAATGACGCGCTTGTCCCTGCGGGCGTTCACACCAGTTGTCAGAAGCTAATTTTACACCAAAAGTGTGATTCCTGGAAGTTCTGCTGGAGTTTCCTTCTTGTCTGTCTGAGGGAATGTGGTCTAAAGGCAGCCTGTGCCAGGTGGAGGGGGGGGGTGAACCTGGAAGAAACGATTCCTTCCATTGTGAGAGCCTGGCCCAGTGTCTTCCTAAGAGCGGGTTTGTTTGTCTTAGTTTCCTTGACTGTCCTGCAAGCGGGCAACAGCCACGGCTGCTCTCGCCGCCGGATCCTCCAGGGGCTGTGTCTCTGTGGCCCCCGGGCCACGGGTCCATATCTGGGAAGAGGATGAGTAACTCTTCTGTCTTCATCTTACTGCTTGTGGTCTCTGCAGAAACGCTGAGTGGTATCAGGTGGCTGCTGAAAAGAAGTAAAACCACAGCAGCTCGGCCGGACGCCCTCAGGCCAGGAATTGGTGTTTGCCATTTTCTTGATGGGGACCGGTTGGGATGTTCGACAAAGGGTCTTTTATTTTCTGGCTCTGCAAATAAAAATGACACCGGTCTCCTTTAGAAGTGAGAAGGACACGTGCACTTCCATTGTTTGCGAGGAAGTGCTCCTTGCAGACCAGGAGTGTAAAGTATTTTAATTGAGATGCAAGCAGTTTCTGAAGCCAAATCCTTTCTCTGTCCTCCAGATGGACTTTCTGGCCGAGACCAGCCGGTGGAGCTGCTCAACCCTGCCCGCGTGAACCACATGCCCGGCTCGGGTAAGTCCGCACGCCCAGCCCTGCTGCGCACCAGGCGCCACCGAAGGGGTGTTTGGGTCTCCGCTGTCCTGGGGGGCTGTGGAGAGAAAGCGGTGGGGTCTCAGGCCCACGGAAGTTGGCTGCTCTTTCCTGGGCTAAAAACAGGCCACTGGTTTTGGAAATGTAGTGGGCTTCGCTTAATGCTTCTTAAGTAAGTGGCACAGACATGCAGGGCCTTTTTTCTGCCTTGAACTCCGATGGGGTGTGTCCTTCCCAAAGGTAAGAACTGCTTGTTTGGGGTCTAACTCCAGGCCCTGAGCTGTACGAGAGTCTGGGGGAAGAGCGCTGAGCTTGAGCTGGGGACACTGCAGGGCAGGCCACGCTGGGTCCAGGGCCCCAGGCTCCTCGGGGGAAAGTGAGTCAGTGATGTCTCCTAAGCAGCTTTCCATGTGTAACTGACGAAAAAGCATCAGCCGTGATTAGAAATCTCTCATTCCATATGTGATATTCCTAAATATCATGCCATAGGCAATGTTTTCCAAATCCATACGGCCGTGGGAGCTTTTTCTTTTTGTACAACACTAACCCTCCATCTACTGTCCTCCAGGATTTCAACTCAGAGCCCGGGTGCCGTTCTTCATGGGCTCCTTCGCCTTATTGAGACTAAAACGAGCCTCGTGAAGGCCTAGGGTGTATGTAAGGGAACCGTTGTCAGCGTTCCACATATGCTCTTAAGCCGGCGTTTTGAGGGCGGCACTGCTGGCCCCTTGCCTTTGCCGTGTCCTGAGGCCTCCGTCTCTGTGGTTTGTTCCTCGCGGCACCTCCTGAACCCCAGCCTTCCTGTCCCCCCTCTGCCCGCTCTCTCCGTGGGCAGGCCTGGCAGAGACGGGGGGCACATAGATGCTTGCCTCTGAGCCGGGCCCCGGCTGACCCACCCATCACCTCACCTTCCCCATCCTCTTAAAAAGAAATCAAAGCTTGAGGCAGGGCTGGAAGTGTCAAAGAAGAGACTTCTTTATTTGCATAGAGATTCTCTGAAGCCTGCCAAGGATCATTTTTGGCATCTCCCCAGACGCGAAGCTCGGGTGGTTTGTCTGTGGTGCTCCTAGAAGGTGCCGGCGCTCCGGCCTCCTGCAGGGGTGCTCACGCCTCTCCCTCACCCTCCACCCACCCGTGGAGCCGGTTACTTGTTAACGGAGGACGCTGGGGGCAGGGCAGGGGAGAGGGCTTGGAAATAGCAGCCGAAGACGAAGATACCCTCTTTCTCATTTTGGCCCCAGCAAGGGAAACAGTGCTGATTTCCCTTTCTCTTGAGTTCGTTTTGCCAGTGCCTTGTGCAGCTTGGGCATTTTCAGACAGTTTCCTGGTGCTCGCCCAGTGTGGGATGGAGGAAGCTTTTCAGTAGCTTGACAGACAGACTGTGAAAAGGTGGTTTCCAAGTGAACCAGAAAGTGGGTGGGGCTTCAAGTTCGTTTTCTGGCTTGAGAAGCGCACCCTGCTGGTTGAGATTTCGTACGGGCCTCCCAGCTCCACGTACAGACAGACCATGGACTGCAGTCCTGGACGGATGGGACCTGGAATCCTGGTGACCCACTGACCGTGTGACTCTAGGCAAGCCGCCGAGTCTCTCGGTTTTATTTCCTAGATGGGATAATAATGCCGACTCTGCAGGATTCTTACAGAGATCAAGTCTATGTGTCTGATTTTTAGTAGTTCCTGGAGAAATGTCATCTCTTAATGTCCTGTGGGCGGGTACTGAACACGGCATGGGACGTGGCTGTGACAATGCCGGCGTTCAGATGCTAGGACAGCCCCTGGGGTCTCTTACACCCCTCCTCTTCTTTTGGGGGAAGCGCCCCACTTGAGAGACGGCATATCGGGGAGGGGGCCCCGGTGAAATTGGAGCCAGTAACACTGCACCTCCAGATTCCATTGGTCAGAGTCAGAGGTTGAGGCTGTGCTTGCTGGTGTCATCGGGGGTCAGTGTTTTCAGGGTGAATCTACTGGGGGCACGCGATGCCCGTGAGCAGCCGGCAGCGGAAGGAGGGGTGTACACGGGGCTGCGCACCCCAAGCCGGCTACGGAGGCTTCTCTGTGAGCTGAGCCTTAGAAGCTGCTGAAGGGAAGGGCATTCTTAACACTCCATTTTTGGTCATTCCAACCACTGTAAATTACGTTCTACAAAGAAATGTGAATCTCAGCTTACGTAATAATTTGAAAATTAGTACAACGATTTCTGTAAAGCCGCATTTTTATGATACGGGAGTGGAAACATTTTTAGATGTATTTTTATGTCGATCCCAGTTTGCTGTTGCACATTTTCCAACCATTGAGTTTAATCTTAGGTACTCTTTTGACCCTCGGCGGTCCGAAAACAAACTGATATATGCGTATAATTTGCAGGAATCACTCAGACATTCCCCATGGGAGCTTGTTCCTTTGAACATACAGCTTTTGCTGTGCGTGGAGGGGTGCCCACGTGGCCCTCCCCTCCTGGATCTCTGCTCATTTCTTGTCTGTTCCTGGCCATGCATGGCAGCACGCTCAACCGTCTTTCTGATAATGGTTCTCTTTAAATACATTAGTCCTTGTGAAGTCTTACTTCAAATAAAAAAGCACTATTCATACCTTCTATTTTGGGGCCATTTTGATTTGAGACTTGAGGTAATTCCTACAAGAATGTCTCTTACTAGAAAAGTTTGTATTGTAGAGGGAACAGGCTAAAATGCTATTTATTTTGGATTCATTCTGATTCCTCCACCTTCCCCCTTAACTTTTTATATGGAAACAAGCCTTCCCTTCTTTTTGTGTTTCTTTTTTTCTTGTTTTAAAGTGTTTCGCTGTGAAATAGTTCTATTATAAAAGAGAGAAAAAAACATAACAACCATTTGCCTACCACTTAGTTGCAACATCTCCTTCATTACTCTTGTTCTGTGTGTGCATCATATTTCTCCATTTTTTTGGACTAAATGGAGTGTCACAGTTATGAATGAGGGTACACCATTTCACCCTTCCTGGGAGGTTGTCCTTTTCCTTCCTGGGTGGGGACTTGGGGGCGCAGACAGGGTGACGGGAGCCGTGGAGGGTTCCCTGGAAGCTCAGAGTTCGGCCCGGAGAGATGGTGGGGCTTGAGGGCAGAGGAAGAGGTGAGAGGTGGCCCTCTAGGAGAGAGATCACACGCCTGCCTGTGCCAGGGGACTTGAAAAACACTTCAGTCCTTCATTTCTGAATCACTTTGACTTTTTTGGGAAGTAACATACTTTTCCCCTGATTATAAAAGCAAGGCATGTTTAGTATAGAAAAGAGACATTGTAGTGAGTGTGTGGGATGCTGGTTCCAGACCTGGAAGTGGAGCTCCCTCGGAGCTGGACAGTGTAGATGCTCAGCGCCGGGGTGGAGGCCTGAGGGGCAGCAGGAGGCATGTCGAGGCGCCCACTGTGGTGGCCTGCTGCAGGGCCCCGTGCCCTTCCTGCCTGTTCCCCTCCAGGGCCGCCTCCCCAGGGTCACCCGGTGTGTCACTTACGGGGCAGGGACCCATTTCTGCTCTCCAGGGGTGCCGCTGGAGCAAAAGGTCACTTTGGAGAATGCTGGGGACCTCTGGACCAGTGGGGCTTCAAGGGTGGGGTGTTGACTAGAGAGGAGCCTCTGCTACGGGCTCCATCGCCCTCATCGTAAACGTGGGTTTCAGTCAGAGTTATCGAGGTTTTCTTTCAAGGCTGTATAACAGGGGTGTAATTTTTAAAAGAAAATTCTGGAAACTTGAAGAAACTACCCCAACTCTAGAGAACTTATCCAAACTAATTTTTAAAAAGCGAGGTTTGGCTCTAGCCACGGATTCCCAAATCTTACAGAGTATTTGACCACTGCACTGTCGAAGGGGTTATTGAATTGCTTGACCGTCCTCGAATTTTGGAACAGGAGCTATCTGAGGTTAGCTGGTGCCTGAAACTTACCAGCCTCCCAGGCATGTCGTGTTGTTCCTGTTTTTCGGTTTGGTTTGGCGAGAGAAAATGCGAAGCAAATGCCAGCGTGAGGACACACGTGACCTCGGGGAAGGCTGCAGGAGATGCCCCTTCATTGCACAGGAAGCGGTTCATCACGGTGGTCATAAATCCCCCGTAAAACCTTACTTGTCTTGCTTCTCACCGGATCCTCCTCTGTGTGTTTTTCCTACAAAGCTGGGTTTCTGGGGTTGAGACGTAGCACAGTAAAGCATCGTGGGCCACCTTTGGGGGCCCCTAAGGCTGGCGCCTGCTGCACACCAGGAGGGGAGCAGACCTTGGTCTCCTCGTTCTGGGGCCAGGCCCGACTCTGCACATTGCTCTTCTCTGCAGGCCAGGGGCCCATCGCTGGTGACAGCTCCCTGCTGGCCCGCAGGCCGGCTGCCCTCTGGCTGCAGCAGAGAGCGGGCAGGCGCGCAGTGGGGCACAGGGCACGTGCTCGAGCCAAAGAGGTTGCCTGCCTTGCTCTTCCTATGAGCGTATTTTAATTTGTGGAGGAAAATGAAAACGTAAAGTAAAATCCAACAGTTTGAAAAATTAGAAAAAGATTCCGATAGTTTGTTTGCTTAGTTTAAACAAAGGTTGAGCATTTTTCCACTTCCCTCCTTCAAGTTCACGTGCGGGCCTGGCGAGTAGTAAAGGCCAGGTTTAGGCGTCGGTAGCCCACGTGGCTTCAGAGCCCGAGTGTCATCACAGCCCCGGCCGTGGAGGCCCTGCCTTGCTGCGTGCATCTATGAGCTGTTTGGAAACGCCTCAGGGTCGCCTGGGGGAACAGGTAGATTTACAGCCAAGAGTGGTTCTGGGCCAGGGGGCGCTGTCCTGCACTGTCCTCCTGTGTCACCGCCTTGTTCACCAGGTGTCACGCCCAGGGATCCACCCCCAGGTTCCAGGTTCCCCATCACCACGCAGAATTCCCAAGGCTGCCCTTCCCCAGCGCCCCTTCCCCAGCCCTTCCTGGTCTCCCGGGCTGTCCTCCTGGGAGTCTTCAGAGCCTCCTTGTTTTCTCTCCGGCCACTTGCT